TTAGATGTCCCTGAAATTTATATTAGTTTATTGACACAACTAGGCTTCCAAGTTATAAATTTCTAATAAATTGCCAAATGTTTTTCTATCTTTTACGTACTTTCAACTTAATAGATTCAAGAAGATAATTAAATGTTGCAATAACAAATTTTCATGTCTCAGTGGTATCCATGAATAATGTATGTTATCAACCCACAAACATTTTGAGAAAATCCAGGCTAGTGACTCGCTGATTCCAAACACTCCTTCATTATTTGCCTGTATAGCTGTATTCATTCAATCTGTGTTCCTGGAATACCCTGTATTCCTGTTCTCCTCCCACCCTTCAAGACTCAGTTCAAATTCCACTCTTCAGATTCCGTTAACATTTCATCTTACTACCTGAGTCACAGTGGTACAACGGTTTTCATTGTCTGAGCCATTCTCTCTCTCTTTTGTATTAAAATCATAAGGTCTAGAATAAGATTGATCTAAGGTTTGGGTCTATGTGCTACCTAAACTTGGGCTTTTGAATCTCCTGAATGTCTGTTTCTACTTTTTTAAAATGGTAGAAAGAATACTTGTTTGAGGACAAGTATGATGATGGATGTAACGGATTTAGCACAGTGCTGAGGCCATAGAATATAATAAGTATTACCCTTACCATCATGACTGGTCGTCTGGTTTTCCCACATTTGAAATAAAATACAGGCACATCTTTTTAATATTGAAACCAAGACTCCAAGGTCTCTGTCCTGTTTGCATGAGATTGTCTTTCTTTGTTTCTTAGCACTCCTCCCCCCTTAGTTATAGAGTTTTTATAATACACACAGCACCTTTCACCAGGAGACCTTCTCACCTCACTGCGAGATCTGCCTGCAACACACCTTTCCCCGGCATTAAAAAGTAGCTATAGTTTCCCTCAGTGAGTCATGAGGCCCACCATTTCCCATCAATGATACTCAAAATTTCTTAAAGATAAAAGCCTCCAACCCCCATCGCCATGCACATAGTAGTGGTACAATAAATATTTTATTTTCATGCTCATCAGCCCACAAACAAGGGCTTTCTTCACTTTTACTCTCTGTCTCTTCCAGTCCCTTGTCCCGGGTGAAATTGTTAATTAGCAGTAAAATGTCCAAAGCTGGGATTTAGCGAAGAGAAACCTAGGGCGTGGGTAAACCATTGCAGAGGAGACATCCCTGAGTGATTCACGACTGGGCTTGTTTCTAATATGGCTCAGCTTCTATTTTATTTATTGACTGAGCTGGGATGAAACTCTACCTCAGGAGAAATACTTCAACTGTTAAGGATAAAGTGGCAGTATATATTTTTCCTTCAGCCTCAATATTAGACCTAAGGGGTAAATTCTGTTTTCCACTGTGAAGAGAAAACAACAGAATATCATTGATCACTGGCAATGTTTTTGCTAGTCTAGCATCCGTAGTCAGAGATGGAGGTCCAATCAGAAAACAAATGCACACAAAAGAAGGCTCTGAGAATTTTTGTTGAATTAAACTATCATGTAGAAATGTAAAATCATATTTTAAAGTCACCTCGTTAGAGTTTTACTTAAAAGGAGGAAAAGAGAAAGGGACCGCGTTAAAGGCAGCTTGGCAGCCTGCTACATTTCTCCTATAAAGTCATAAAGCTTAATTCAAAAATTTCCTAGAATTTATAGTGCCAGAGGCTAAGCTAAAAATAATTTTCCCTCATTATATCTGTAGTTTAACCTCTGAAGTGGAAGGTTTCTAACAGCTGCATCAAGACTCCAACTCACAAAAGCACCATTCAAAAAGGGGAGGAAGAGAGGGCCTGCTTCTATGAAGTGACCCGTAGAGAATGGAGGAGACAAAGAAGCTTATTTCTGCAGCTCTCTGGGCCCACATAGGGCTGCTCAGCTGTTCCAGGTGGATTGCTTCTGTCAGCTCTGAAGGTATCATGTGCTAAATGAGCATGAAATTTTATCTGGGGGCCAAGCATTGGAAGTTAAATTTGACTAGACAATGACAGAAATCTGAGAGGAAAGAAAGAAGTAGAGGGTGTGTTCAATAACCCTAGTAAAAATTAATAATCAGTAATTGTCTCCCCATCATCTTTCCCAAACCCTGAAAAAAGTGTTTTCTTATTGTGCCTGTAGAATGGAGGAAAATAAAGCTACAGAGATTTAAACTTGAAGCTACTTTTGAAATCTGGGACTAAGGTAGAGGGGTGGGTTTAAGTCTTGAAATCAAGACTTCTGAATTTAAATGTTATTTCCTTTTTTTTCTTACTTCATTATCCAACAAGACAAAATGCTAATTACATTATTCCCATCTCCCCATTTGTATTGGGGAACAAATTTTAATATTCTGTGTTATCTGCTCAGTCATATTTGTGATCATGTCACTAATAGGGAAAGAAGAGAAGAGGGCCAATCGATGAGTTAAATTCAATCAATTCAATTAGACTGGTATAGAATAAGGGAATATAATACATTACAAATCAGACCATCCACCATTGTGGGAGCTTGTGAAAAAGTCTGTGGAAATTGCCTCTGTGTCTGGCAGGAGCCTAAAGACCACAAGTCCACAGAATCGTTGTTAGGAAGAAAACCTGGACATAAAATCCAGGGAAGTGAGGGCAAATTAGAATCCATGAGGACACACTGGAGCTGGCATCTATCTCTCAGCACCTTCAACCTTGATGATGTGAGCAATTTTAAAAGACACTGGCTCCCTTGCACCTGGCTCAGGACTCAGAAAAACTGAGAGAGAGACTAGTGGAAGCTGAAGGAGCTGTGGGTCGAGCTTTTGCCCCACACCAACAAGGTGAGCCAGCAGATTAATAAGGACATGTGTCATCTGCAAGAGCTCCTGGCCCTATATTTCTGTTCAGAAAAAAATGGCTATTGCTTCACTTCTGCCTTTCAAATATCATGCAGATTTCTCCTGGAGCCAACCATACCATGAACTGTATAGGCAAGGAGATTCCAGGACACCTAAGTCTAGCTTAGCTCTGCAGACACCATTCAAAAACCACCACAACCCTTATTTATTCAATATCATGTTTTCCAGGCACTGTGACAATTTCTATCCTACCTAGTTCATGTTAAAATACTCCTCTTAGAAAGTATTTCACCCTTAAGAAGATAAGTTCAGAGAGGCCAAGAGACTTCTCTAACACTTCTAGAAACTGGAAGAAAGCATATTCAAATTGAGACCAAGTATTTTTATTTCAGTTTATGATTAATTCTTATATTTCCCTTTGTTACTACTATACCATCCACAATTGAATACTTTTTACACTACATACTGGTCAGGATTTCAGCACGAAGCACATGGCACACTCATCTTGGGTTGTTTAAGAGAGTTCATTAAAGGAACTATTTAGAAAGATTTGTCAGCAGGGATTAGGGAAATCAGTGCAGGATGAAAATTCCTGGGTACCGACAATAGCAGGAAGTCATCGCAATCCCTAGGTCTGAAGACGGAAAGGGGTAGCAGTGTGGAGAGTCCCCCCCCAACAGAAGCTGAAGCCTTTGGTGAAAGGAAACAACTCACCTGTGGTGCTTAGCAAGAAGGGGACAGAGAGGATAAATACCCCAACCTCACTCTCTTTCAGCTTTCTATTTCTTGTATTCTCCATTCAGTGACTGCTATCCACTCAATCCAACTGGAAACCAGTGAGCTAAGAAATCCTTTAATGCGATCAACAGAAGTCAGTATTCTGGGAGATAGATCAGGATACAGAAAGGTGGACATTGATCCACAGGAGAAAACAAAAAATATGTAGCATAACATTCCAGAGTAAAGCGTTGGTAAAGATTTTAGGAAAATATTTTGCTTTTATGCAGACTCATAAACATCCTTCAAAACATTTTTCAAGGTAATGTCTAAACTTTTCTCAGTTACCATCTAATAAAACATTTCTATACTTTTCATCATGGCCTGTTTTTCAAACTCTGAATGTACAATGAGCTGGTGAAAATAACCCATGCAAGGCCAAATCTTTATCAGAGCTTCAGCTTCCAGTGGGCATGGTTGGCAGGGGTGTGGGGAAGTTGGCTCACAGAGGTGTAATCTCTGGGCCCATGAGTAGATCTTCAAAGAATTTGCTTCTTTAATAAAACACCAAAGGCTGCTGCATGTGGTAAGGTATCTCTAAGACTAAAACTAAAGTGAACTAAAAGTGCTTCACAGCTGAAAATAGGAAAGTAAATACTTTGTGGCTCTTTTGGGTTCTTCCTGGTACAGCTTTTCCACTCATTTTCTAAGTATCTATTTCCAGGTTTTCTACACCGTAGAAAGAGATCTAAGGTCTAGGATTTCAGAGTATATCTGTTTCTTGGGAAAGATTTGTTGGATGTCTAATCAGGATCTCAGCAGTACCTGTGATAAGTTGACCTTACAGGTAGCAAGAGGAAGATGAGGGCATCTTTCATCTTACCATTAAAGCTGAAGCTTAGGCTCTAATCCCCTAATCAGTTGGTTGCTAAGAAGAGGACTTGTTATAAGGATGGATATCAGTACTAAGTTAAGAGCCTCCTTAGGCTCCAGTTTCAGCTTAAGACAACGTCTATGTCAGACATTAACACAACCATACGACACAAATTCATGACATTTAATGAAAGCAAATGAGGAAACTGAAGCTTTTAAGTCTGAGTCCAGTATTTACTGTTTGTACAACTTTGGAAAAACTGCCGAACTTATCAAAACTTTTGTTTTAAAAGTAATGAAAAGTGAACGCTTCATAAAAAATTCTATGAAGTGATAAAATTTGTTATTCTATGAAAATTTATGGCTGTAAGTGCCTACGTTATTTAATATGAAAGATTAAAAATAAATGACTTCAGCTCTGTCTTAAGAAATTAGAAAATGACACGATTCTGATATGACAAATAGTTATAATCCAGAGTTAAGTAAGAAGAATTAATTGTTAGAAACAAAATCTGAAATTAATGAAATGGGGAAAAAATCAGTGGCTTCACCCTTTCTGGGTCTTCCTCCAGGAGCTTATACATCTTCTTTCCGTCAGGTGCTATATTTATCGACCACGACCCTGTTGGAGAGACCTGAAGATGAAGGTAGGGATAACTTCAACTCATTGAGCATTGGCAAACCCAAACCCTTTGACTGGATGGATATAAGAGATGTTATTGTATTAATGGGCTGACTATTTTTTCCCTGTGTTTGTGATGTTTATGAGACTGGACTCTAGGCTAGGATTTTATGCTGAAGAAACTCCTTCTTGTATTATACCAGAATTTGTATAAGCTTTTAGCTCAAACTATTTAAGGCCAAACATAAATAGGCCTTTCTAGGTTAGTTTATACAAATTCTGTTCTTCCTATTTGATGTTTTGAAAAGTCTTCAGGAGTAGATGGGGAAACTGTGTGGGCCTTGCGCTTGATGAATTCATGTGGCGTGTGTACGAGTGTGTGTGTGTCCTTAGACTTTAGCAGATGTGCCTACAAGACACAGACTTAGCAAGCATACGCAACACTGAGACAATGATTTAATTGACCTAACTGATTGAAAAGAAGGAATGGAAGCCCCCTGTTATAAATTTGATACATAGAACCACGGATGAGAAACAACTCAATGAAATCATTAAGCACTCAAAGTAGGTAAGTCAACAAAGGCCAGTGCCTACAGTGCTGACTCAGACATACAGCACTGTTTTCAGGACATAACAGAGGATCTAGAGGGTTTTGTAAAACATGCTTTAGTTTTATTTCAGAGTAGAATGAGTGGATGACAGAAAGTAAAGTAAATAAAAACCAATTGATTATGTTAGAGGAAGAAGATAATTCCTTAAAAGATTGAAATATTGGAAGCCAAACTAATGCTATATGAAAGGAAAAATAAAATGAATCTTATAGTCCAGGAAAGACAGACATTGAAAGGGAAGGAAAAAAAATTAACTCAGACTTGAAAGGGACACACCGAAGGATTAGCATGAACTACCANCAGGAAAGACAGACATTGAAAGGGAAGGAAAAAAAATTAACTCAGACTTGAAAGGGACACATCGAAGGATTAGCATGAACTACCAAAGGATTAGCATGAACTACCAAAGCCATATTAGATGGGATCCTATAACATGGTTACTATAAACAGAGATTGAACAACTGTCTCTCCCTAAGGGAACACACTCAAGAAAATTACAGAATTAGGGCATTAAGGAAAGTCACAATGAATCAGAGATATATCAATGGAGAGCTAATCAGTGCAGTTGTAGAGATGATGTTGGAACCCTCCAGACAAGGTTATCCAAATCGGGGAGTGAAGAATGACATGATTTGTTTTTGAACAGAATTCATTGATTTCATATATCTTACTATGGGACAGTATAGAGTTCAAAATCAAAAGGAGTATTTTAAAAACAAACATCTTAATATATTAAAAAAATAAAAAATAAAATGAAAACAAACATCAGATCCAAAACCAACAAAAAACACAAGGGAAAGTAAAGAAGCACAAGGGCCCTGAGTTTTAGCAAACAGCTTGAGTTCTGGGTATGTTTGAGGAGGAATGGAACCAAACGGAGGAGCGTATTAAGCTGCTAGAACTTAATTAGGACCCCTCGGAAAGGAACAGGAGAATACACCGTCCTCCTGCCAAAAGGGACATAGCAGAACAAATGCTCCTGCAGGCACATGACGTCCGTAGCTGAGGTAAGCAACTGAAGGTAGCGTCTCTGGGAGTGCGTGTCCGATGTATTACTCTTCAGCAGGTGCCGCAAATACAGAGTTTGGGAGCAACTGCAGCTTTGGTTCAAGAATCTGTGAAGGGTGATTCTCTAGTTGAAACAAATGAGGTGATGATAGGGTTCCCTAAAGGGCTAGTTTTACAGGCCCAACAATGTGTGTGCAATCTCACATTTTCATATGTACTTTGGTCTGTAGTAGTTGACGTTTCAGAGCTGTTTTCTCTCCAGAAGAGAGTTTTACTCTGTTGAAGGCCTCCAAAGGGCAAGGATTAATCCAGCTAATGAACTGTGAATATTGGTAGATTGACATTTCAAAGGGTCATGACATTCAGTGATGCTCTAAAACTCACTATCTCCGTGAATTAATATGTGTGTGTGTGAAAATATCCATTTCCCTTATGCCAAGCCACATCAGAACTTACTGGGTTTCCTCGTTTGCCTCTCCCTAATCTCTTTACCTCTTAGAGACTTTTTTATTTTCTGTAACAAATGAGGGAAGAAAAGGCACTTAAAAACTGGTGCTTTATTGGATTTGTTTAATAGACTCTTTTCTAAATGTAAAAAAATAGATACTTTATAATTTAAAGTACTTTCCAATGCACGCAAAATTAAATCGTATACTTTTTAAAAAGTTGTTTATGTATAAGTAGTCCTGTACAGAGTGATATTTATCACCCTTCCTCAAAGCATAACCAGCATGTTACATTCACAATCAGTTGAGTTGGATTTTCCATATTTGTGTGGTGTTAATGTGTTGGTCTCTACGCTCTGACTATAGTCTTAATGTTCACAGTCCTTGTTTTGGGGATTCTTGCTACGAGGCACCTGCTCTATAAAACTTTGGCAGTGACTTCCAGATGTTAACCTGTCCCATCCATTATCCCCAATTTGATTTCCTTTACTCTGCTCGCACCTTCGTAAATAAGACTTTCCCTTCCTTACTCTGTTCTGACTGAGTCATCTCATTCCTGCCCGGGCTCTGGCCTCCATAAGGTGCCTGATTGTTTCTCACAGCATTATATGCTTTTAAATTCAATGCTTATGTAACATAAGCGGGTAACTGAGAGAAACAGAGTGTAACCTCATTTTTGTAACAAGCTGGGCACAGTCAAGGGACCTGAGTGAGGCGGCACATTCCTTTCTCTTCTTTTTTCTCCCAGTGTCTTCAAGCAGCTCCCTGGGTGTCGGATCCACCCTCATCATTCACTGCGCTGCAGTGATCATCCGCCAGGGCCCCCAGATCCAGGCTTCAATATTATAGCGAGAGAAATGCTGTGATAACACCTGCTGAGTATGTACAGGACACTTCTAAGGGTTTTACAGGTATTAATCCGATTAATTAATCCTTAGAACAACCCCGGAGGTGAACACTGGCATTGTTGCCCATTTTTACATATGAATACACTGTACCCAGAGCAGTTAATTAGGTTTTATAGCCACACCCTTAGAAATGGGTGAGTTGGGATTCCAAGCCAGGGACTATAGCTCTAGCTTCTCTGTTCATTACCACTATGCTCTATTCACTCTTTTATTTAAGGTGCACCACATGATGATTTAATGTACATATGTGCTGTGAAATAATGACCACAGCCAGTGAATTAATCATCTTACAGAATTACCTTGTTTATGTGTGGTGAGGACACTTATTTTCAAGTACACGATACAGTACTATTAACAATAGTCAACATGCTATATGGAAGATCTCAGAACTAATTCATCTTATAAGTGAAAGTTTGTGCCCTTTGACCAACATCTCCCATTTCCCCCAGCTCCCCAGCCCCTGGCCACCACTATTCTATTCTCTGGTTCTGTGAGTTTGACTTTTTTAGATTCCACATTTAAGTGAGATCATACAGTATTTATCTTTCTGTGTCTGGTATTTTACTTATGCTATACTAACTCCTTTTAAAAAATTTATTCTTTAATTACAGTTAACATACAATGTTTTATTTGTTTCAGGTATACAACATAGTGGTTAGACATTGATACACCTTAAGTGATCACCTGGATAACACTAGTATCCATCTGACACCATACATAGTTATTACAATGTTACTGACTATATTCCCTATGCTTTACTTTGCATCCTTATGACTATTTTAATAACTGTAATCTGTACTTCTTAATCCCTTAGCCTTTTTAACCCATACTTCCCAAATTTGTGGTATACTAACTCTTAACATGAACATATTTATTTATGGAACCAGTAGATAAACAATTCCCTGTTTAAATTGTATTTTTCTTTTTAAATTTGCAAAAATTATAGCTCCATAGTCTGACCAAGATGTTTTTATTGGAATGGCAGTTCTGGAGATGGAGAAGGGACATGGAGATAGTTGTAGAGTAATCTGTCTCACTGTGACTTTCGAAAAGTCATTCAACCTTCATGGCCCTAAATTGTTCATCTATCCAGCAAAGGGGTTGAATTAAGCCTATTAAGAAAAAAGAACAGGACTAAAGTATGCATAAGAGAGTCAGGAGGTAAGGATAAGTTGAACAAAATTAGTAGAGGATTATTCCAGCTAAAGTAAGAAATTTAAAAGAAACTTAATGAGGCTACAGAATTTCAAGTTAAATTAGAAACAGCAACATATAAAAACAGTATTACAGAAAGTGGAATTTGACTTTAAGCATGCTAGATAAAAATAATTTTTAAAGAACAAATAAAACAAAGAAATGGACAGGCAGTAGAGATCTAAAATATAATTAATGAGAACTGAGAGATCTAAAATATAATTAATGAGAACTGAACAAATGAAATACAGAAAATGTCCAAATTTACACAAGGTTTTTCCAAAGGAAAAAAAGATAACCTAGAAAATAAAAAGACTCATTGATTTCCAGAAAAGAACCAAACAAGTGTAGAAAATTAGTAAAATACATCCTGAGGCTCTTGAACTTAAAATAAAAAGAAACTTCAAAATACAAGAATTCTGTAAGTTTCCAAAGTTTTAAAATTAAAAACTATGGGTAACTTTCTTCTGTAATTTTTGGATTTTTAAACATTTTTGAATGATTTTTATCAACTTTATTATAAAAATGAGCTCATTTTACATACATAAAAGAAGAAAATTATTTTAATAATACTATTTGCAAATTTATGGTAAAATGAGGTTTTGGATTGTGAAGACATACCCAGGATACCACTCTCTGTGGCAATTTACTTAAATTATTGGAAACCTACATTCATGTGGAAACTGGCTATAAAAGTCTTGCCCTGCAAGCACAAATAAATCAACTGAAAACAAATGCTTCATAAAATATTTGAGAACATCTGTGTTCTAAAATGCACTTAATGTGTGCATCTTGTTCTATACAGAATGTATACAGTTGGGGAAACTAGAATTGATTGATGTAACCTTATAAACAAAGCGTCTCCTTAGAATTGGCTGATGAACTTGCCACTCATATCAGTAACGAGAGTTTCTAACAAACGATCAGCATTTCCTCACCTGAAATACTGTTATAAAACGTTACTCGCCTGCCTGTTCCCAAGCATTTATTAGTCTTTTTTCCCCAGGCCTTTTGAACCGTGGCTGTCAGCAAGTCATCACAATCACTGACAAAAGCTGTCAGCTCTCGGTGCTCACATATCTATTTGCCAGCCTCTCACCAGTGAGCGGAGCACTTTAGCAATCCATTTTTTAGGAGTACATTTGGAAGAAAAACATTTTTGTCTTCCCAGAATCAGTCTCCCACGCTCCATTTTCTTTGGGGAGCAACTTCTTCCGCTCACACCCAAGTGCTTCCTAGTGAGTGTGGCGATCCCCGTGCATCATCCCGTCGCCATGGTGATCTAACTGTGGCCACTCGACCGAAAACAAGCCATTGGACTCTCCCTTTGGGATTTTTTCCTAAGTTCCTTTTCCTCTCTGGAAATGCAATTGTAAGGATATTGCTGGCCCCTGAGTGGATAAAAACACAACCCAGGGAGAAAGGGGGACCAGAGGAGGAAGAAGGGGTGCAGTGAATCCAGTTATAATTCCAGCAACCCTAAAGCGGCATTGCTTCCTCCTGGGATTAGACTAAGCCAGACCTAGTTGTCAGGAAACTACCTTTTAAATCTTAAGATATTCATTCATTCATTCATTCATTCATTCATTCATTCATTCATTCATTCTTTGGTCATTCATTGTTATAGGCAAGAGCTATTGTGTGTGTACAGGTTTAATGGGCTAGAGCTGACAGGACGGCTTAGCATCGAGGTTTATTGCTTTCTGTTCTCTCACCATTAAACTTACTCTATGGACCTGCTCTTCTCTACATCCAGACAAAACCTTGGGCAGATCCAAAAGACTTTCCAGGGACTATTAGGTAATGAAGGGTACAGTCCAATCTTAATCCAAATTTAAAGCTGCTCCCTGTTTGAGCTGGTTCAGGTTTGAGAGCCTGCAATGGCCAAGAGGAGAGGAATCTGTTTGCTCGTGTTCCAGGCCTCATATCTTACCGCCCACCTTTCTACCAGATATTTCTGATACTTTCCGGGTTGATTTAGGGAGTGATAAAATTAAAGGGGAACGTTGTGGTCTTACCTGGCCATGCTTTTGACATTGATACTTGTATTTTCTGAAGATGAATGCCACACAGTTAAGATTTCTGTTTGTTTGTTTGAGCTGCTTATATAGGTTTTTCAGAACTGCTCTTGAGAATTTAGACATTTCTGCCTATATTTGCTTCCTTATAGACATGCCTCCTTGGGCTGCCTGGTTTCATCAACTTCTGTGAGAGCGCACTCTTGTTGGGGTCCCTTCACTTCTCTAGAACATGGTCTTGAGAGAGGTTCATTTTAAGACAAAAGCAGGCATTCCCTTCCACAGACATCTCATTTGTACACTGCAAACACACACACACACACACACACAAGCACACGCACACAGCCTTTTGTGGCAGTGCAGTTACCTCTCTTTGCTATACTTGCCAACAGGAACCGTTCCAGTCACACCCTCTTACTTTTAGGTATTTTCAAGCAATTTTACATATCAGCACCACTGCTCCCTAAACGCCAAGGAGCTATGTGATGAGAGGAGGCGAAGCCCAACTACATGCTGCATATAACTGTGCTTGGCAGACCTAACCGAGCTCCTGAAATCAATGTACAGCAGCAGGTCCTCAAAAAATGTCATTTTGTTCAGTGTCATTTTGGTATAAAGTTGATGAGAAAAAATTATTGCTGGCAAGGACCACTGTCTATGTGGAGATGGCACATTCTCCCCATGTCTGCGTGGGTTTTCTTTGGGTCCTCCAGTTTCCTCCCACACCCCAAAGATGTGTGTGAGAGGTGAGTTGGCATGTCTGTTGTCTCAGTCTGAGTGACTTTGGGCAGATGTTAGTGGTTCCTGAGGTGGAAGGGTGTCCTCTCCAAGGTAGGTGCCCCCTTTGTGACCTGAGCTGCTGGGACAGGCTCTGGCCACATGTGACCCTGAACTGGAATAAGCAGGTTAGAAAATAATCACCTTCCTTGTTTTATTAATCTTTCTTAAAATTGTATATAGCTCACTTTTACTTAAATGTTTAATAATAAAACTGTTTTGAGTCTTTATTTAGGAGATTGGTGATGTTTTGTGACCAAAAATGTGCTATAGGAATTTAACGCTTGTTTATATCAGTTAGCCTATGGTAAAATTGATTTCATTATATGTCATTTCACTTAAAGTCGCAATTTCCAAGAACCTATCATTGACCTTAAGTGAGGACTTATTATGTGATACTTCCACAGCTTTTGAGATGCTCTCTCAAATGTCCGGCGTTGTTTGTCTTTGGGATGCTAAGTCAATATTTTGTCAGAAAAACTCCACAGAAATAAAACACAAGACAGTCACTTAAATGCATGGTTTTCAATTAAGTTTCTAGCATAAGCCTCTTTGGCTACTAAGAACTGCTTATGTCCTGCCTGCTTCTCTCTCCTATTTGGATCCCAAAGCAGATGCAGGCTGTCTCTGCTCCTCTGCAGTCAGGACGTGACTTCTTGCACCTGAATGGACTGATCGAATGTAATTCCATTAGAATAAAGATTATTTCTCCAGATTGTTCAAGTCAACCAAGGACAAAGCATATAAGAATAAAGGCCCTGATCTTTGAAGAGGTAAGCTGCTAACATGCTCTGGTCCAATCTGATAATGTGAGGAACTAAAGAAATTGGCAATTGGAGTGACTTACAATAGGTGCCTTGGTCAAGCTAGTTCAAGTCGGTTCTGCCCAAGAGGGCAGCCACCAAGGCATGTTGGTATGGGAGGACTGATCCCCACTGGGAAGTTGTTAGAGAGAAATTTGTGGGTTTTGGAATTGGAAAATTAATTTTTTTTAAAAAAGCAACTTTTCCAATAGGTTTCCTTTAACAGAGAGATGGCCTAATTTATGTAGAGGCAGCCTGCTTTGAGATCCACATTTTCCTAAGAATTGCCATGTTTGTATATTCTGATATGCATGTATTTCACTAACGGCTCCTTGGCTGCTATCACCTTGATAAACCCATGACTGCTTTCTTCCTAGAGTAAACGGTTTCTTGTTTCAAAGTGAAAGTCTCATGTTAACCTCTCACTATTCATGAAATATTTCATAAACAAAGGATAGATTAGAAACATTTACATAACTAAGAAATAATTTTAAGTTTCAAACTATTAAGCCTTCCAACAATACCTACTGTAGGAGAGATATACTAATAATCCTTGACATGCTTCTGGTGGAATTATCAAATAAATCAAGTAAGAGATTATTTATAACAATGCTGCTGAAAGGGGGAGGCTGGATAAGTGACTGACTGACTGTCTGACTGTAGTTTCTCCTTGCTGCCTATAAACATAGTGAAGCAACAGCAATGCTATTTTATAATCCCTGGAGGGGAGATTCTTTTTCAGGAGGTGTCACCTGAAGGCCTCAACAACTGGAGTGCTTTGCTTTTGTTATGTTGTTAGATTGCCTGGTGATGATTTCCTTGCTAAAGAAGCAAGCAATCGCTCAAGGTTTCCTATCAGAGGAATTGCATGAAACTTTGTGGAATTTTTGTCTCTTCGCCAACTCTAGAAAGCTTCACTCATGTACTTGCTGTCCCCACATTCTCTACAAAATTACCATCCTTCTAATAATAGCAATTAACTTCTTCTCATGAAACGTGTTTGCCATTTTTAAAGAACACTCATGTCCATTATTCTGTTTAGCTTGCCTGACTCCTTTTTAATAGGGACCTAAGGCTTCAACTTCCAGATACCCTTACAAAGTAGAGTTTAGGCCTTTCTAACACTTTTTCTGCAGCTAGTTAAAAAAAATAAAGGTGGTCATCACACTTTACATGATCATGGGGAAAGTGCTATTAGACATAGAGTAAGTTGTATGTATTATGAAAAGTCTTGCTGTGGTAGGGCTTTCTTTTTATGAGAAGCCAGGTCATAGCAAAACACTTTTAAATGTTAAGGAGTTGGAGTTTTTAAAAACATTTACGAAGTTCATACTTATGGTAGGCACTGTGTTAAGTCTTTGAAAGCGTTATTTTATTAAGCTTCTCAAAAACCATATGAGGAAGGTACTATTATCATCTCCATTTCTAAATGAGAAATCTGAAGATCATAAAGAAATAAGTAGCACCTTCAGTTAGGGGTGGTCCAAGAATTATGGAAATTAGAAAAAGGACATTGCTTTCTGATATTTGTAGTGTAAGAATCAACACACAGTGAATGAGAGCTGAGAGATGAGAATGTCTTGAAGGAAAAGAGATCAATCTTCCAGAAGGTTGCCCATAAAAGTTTAGTGATATAAGCAAACACATGCAATATTTAACCCACCAACATTCTGAGGAAAGGGAAAATTAGACAATGTAATTTAAACATTCCAGTGTTTTTAACCAGACCACCCATGTTGTGGAGATGAATTTATTAAACCACATAAAACTCATGGTAATTACAATTCAGATTCTACATAGCATTCTAATTATGATTTTGTTTCCCATAAAGTCTGCCAACAGAGATAAAATAATAAGCACTCACATGCTTCAAACTGCAATTATGTTTTAAGCAGAAAATTAAGAAATTAGCATTCTAATTTTACCTGCCAGTATCATAGATTTTGTTAATGCAATTTTCCCTGAGAATCTTATCTGCTCTCTCAGTTTAGTTTATTGAGCTAGTATGCTTGAGGGGCAAACGGTAAGCACTGGAACGCTCACACAGGTGATGAATTAATAACTACAAGATAAATTTTCACTAAAAGCTATGGAGAAAACTTCCTAAAATTGTCAGCCCTACCTGATTTCTTATAAATAATAATATTTGAAAACCTAATATGTTTCAGGCATTGTGCTAGACACTCAACATGCATTATTACTCATCTAAATTTCATATGAACCCTGGTTAAAATGTGTTATAATGTGTATTTTATAGAAAAAATTCAATTTTAGAAATATCAGGATGATTTAGTTTCTTATGTCTTAAAGTACCTCTGAGTTTGGGTGCCTCAATGCTATGCTTCAAATCAATTATATTTTAATCCTAACACCAGAGTGTTTCTCTGCTCTTTCAAACCACTGCATTCTCACATCTATGAATCTGGCACCAATCTACCATAAAAAATTTGGTTGTCATCTTCCTCAGAATGCCTGAAGACTCCTTGCCAAATTCAGAAATGTTTAGAGAACAAATAAGGACTCCGATGTTGGATGACCCCAAGAAGAAAGTACATCTAAACCAAACATGAGCTCTATGATACAACACTAAGATTCACCTGGATGACAGGTGCCCTGGCATAAGAACGGCTAATGAATGAATGACAAACAAAACAAAACCAAAACCCCCAAAACCAACCAACAACAGCCCCCCTACATAAAATCCTAGAATGAAATAGCTCAGAAAAAAATAGCAACTTTGTGAAAATTACTCCTCAAGTAGATCGGATCTAACAATTTTCAATCCTAGTCCTCTATATTACCAAAATTTTAGTTGCTTGTTGAAATGAGTGAACCCAAATTCCTTCAAAAAGAAAAAGGGAGGCTGAATGATTTATTCACAAAACAATTCCCATAGTGACTGAGTAGCTCTAGTGTGGTCTTTGGCCATCCTCAGTTATCACTCAATTTGTCTGGGGGGGGGGAAATGCTGCCTTCAGTCACCAGCATAACTAGGCAACAAATTGGATCTCATTGCTCAATACAAGTCACACGCCAGTCAATGTGTGGCTGTGGCTGTGCTTAAAGACTAAATAAAGGGATAATTTGTCAAAGTTTTCTCCTTTTTTTCAGTTATCCCTGATTTTTTAAAAAATATAAAAAGAAGAAAAAAACTGAAAGAAGTTAGCAACCACCAGAAGTTGGAAGAGGCAAGGAACAGGATCTTCCCTATAATCTGAGGAAGGAGTGCAACCCTAGAGATACCTTGATTTCAGAACTTTGCTCTCCATAAGTGTGAGAAAATAAATTTGTATGTAATTTGTCCTGGCAGCTCTAGGAAACTAATGCAATTAGTAAAGTGCTTGAGATACTACCTGACACACAGGAGGCATTTAATCATCATATCTGAGATGGTGAGGGTCATGAAAGAGGACCGTGATCATTTTCTTTTATAAGTCAACAGATTCAAAGTATTCATTCAACAGTCATAGTCCTATGTAAGACCTGCTTTTAGGTTGTTTTGACTGGCTTGTACATTTTAAAGACAGTTACATTAATGTGCCTTCCAGTTCTGTTGGCAAGTTAGCCTGGGATGTTTTAATCTGCACATACACACTGCTTTATCTACCCTACACATTTTACTTTCCCTTTTTAGTAAAAAGTAAGAGGAAGGCAAAAGGAAGGTGGAAGAAAGGATTAAAAATTATTTAGCAATAATAAATATAATAGAAAAGTCACTTTAAATGTCAATAGCGGATGTAGGCAAGGGCAAAGCATGATATAGGCATGGACAACTCACTGAGTCAGGGTCACAACTGGGTGGTTTAGAGCCACGAGAGCTGGTTATAAATAAGTTAACATTCTTTTCTATGGGCTCATGGAAACTCCTCAAGGTTGTGAGTGATAAGATGGGCAGTGATGAGTGGTAAGTCAGGAAGATGACATACTGTCAAGGCCACCAATATCTCTTGTTAGGCTGGAGAAACTGTTTTATGTGTATAACATACTCAGAATTTATGGGTGTAAGATTTCAAAACCTGATCCCAAACCTTGGCATTCAAACTTGAAAGTTTAAATAATTGCAAAACTTTGTGAGAATAATATTGTGCTAACAAAGGGGTTGAATTGAACTTTCAAAAAGAGAAATACAGGTCTAGCCAGTTTTCTCAGTGGTTAGAGCATCAGCCCGCGGACTGAAGGGTCCCAGGTTCGATTCCCGCCAAGGGCATGTACCTCGGTTGCAGGTTCGATCCCTGGCCCTGGTTGGGGCGCATGGAGGCAACCAGTCAGGGTGTCTCTCTCACATCTATGTCTCTCTCTTTCTCTCTCACTACCCCCATCTCTCTTTCCCTCTCCCTCTCCCTTCCACTTTCTCTGAAAAACAATGGAAAAAATATCCTCAGGTGAGGATTTAAAAAAAAGAGAGAAATACAAGGTAAGGTTTTGGTTATTTTGTGTGACACATTATCAGTATAGATAGTTATATTTACAGAAAGTGATGGGAGTCTGTGGAAGAATGAAAGTTATTTTACCACTGATATTGCTTAATGAGGAAATGGCTTTCTTGAAATTAGGAAAGGGATTATCTACAGGCAAAAATCAAATAAGAATATCTACTTTCAAATACATATTAAGAATCCTACAACTTTTTAAAAACCTTGACCAAATAATCTATCTTCTATTCTGAAGAAATAACCTCTGACATTGAAAGGAGCTTTAAACTCCAAGATGTCCATTACAACAGGGGGAAAACCTAAACTACTTACTGTCTAACAATAAGATAATAGTTACACGGTGGCGCTTAAGTTTGTTATTCTAGGCTGTAAACTAGTGGGAAAAAGGGTTTGAAGGAGGGACAGTTATAAATCAGTGTGAAAGAGTGCCTGGGGATGAAGCTGGTAGAGAGCTAATCCTACGGAGAAAACACCAAACATCCCAGTCTTCACCCTGCATTAAAGACTTTGAGGCAAAGAAAGGGGTGATTCTAAACCAGTCATTTGGGGATACTATCAGCTATTCCCAAGGGCTTCTGTGTTCCCAGGAAGAGACTATTTAGGTGTTTTGTTTTTTTTTTTAAAAAAAAGCTAATTTACCTCTTCGGTATCAGGGCACAACCAACCCAGCTTTGGTATAACCCGACAAATGACACTCTTTTCCACTCTGTGGTAGATTATTCCAGTATACCATGGTGGTGGCTCCTGGGAATCCATGGTAAACACTAGTAAGCTACTTATGCACCTGGAAGGAGGTAAAACTAGCACTCATATCGCACAGTAGAGGCTATAGTATTTGCCGAAAGCAGTGCTGCCCTGTAAATGTGGAGATGTCCAGCATTTCTCCCAATATTCCAGTACTCAGCAGGGATGGTGTTAACACCGCCCTGTGGGCACCATGGTGGCCAGAGAATGTCAGTGCCCGTGGCAATCACAGGGATGCAGATCAGATCCATATTCATGAGGACATGTGAGATACTATTAGATAACCACAGGGGACTCTCCAAAATACTTTCCAGCTTCTGAGGACTTATGTAAGGAGGCAATGTCACGAGGGTCCCATTTATACCTATAAGTTTTGAGAAACTGGGGTAACTAATACGTTAAAAATTACATATTTTATGGCAAAATATGTAATCATTAAACATAATTTTCAGAAAGAACTCAATGTAAAGGAAAAAGTTCCTTGCAACCATATATATGATCAAGTAGATCTTAGTATGATTTTTTTCCCTCTTTATAATTATGGCAGGTTAAATGCTAAATGGATTTTAACCACATCTAGAGGTTATAACCTAAAATATAGGCTCATGGAGCACATGAAATTAACTTTGAATGGCTATATGTAGCTCATTAATTACTTTCTTATTTTTATAGTATTATTACACTAATATTTTAAACATCTCAATGAGTAAAGCTCAGGAATTTGTTAATTTAATTATTTTAGCTAATTTTAATGGAGATTTTTTGGTGGGGGCTAAGGACTCCAAATGCTAATTAAATTTTTAAAGGTTAATTTCTCATTTATTTAACATATCCTTATTATGTGACTACACACACTGTTGTAGTTGCTATTGATGATGCAATAAAGAAAAGATTTTAGTATAATATCGGAGAGTGATAAATGTTTGATAAAAAAAACCTCTGAGTTTGGAAAGTTAGAACCGCTGAAAGAAATATTGTGGATATTATGTGCATGTGTCTGCTTCAAAATATATTTGAGAGTGTATATAACAAATGAAACCAAATAGTCATCCTGAAAAGCACCAAGAAGGTATATTAAACCTTATTTAAATGTACAACAACAAACTACCAGAAAAAAATTAAGAAAACAATTCTATTTACAATAGCATCAAAAAGAATAAAATACTTATGAATAAATTTAACCAAGGAAATGAAAGAGCTATGTACCGAAAACTGTAAGACATTGATGAAAGAAATTGAAAATGACACAAGTAAATGGAAAGGTATTCTGTGCTCATTGATTGGAAGAATTAATCTTCCACAGTGATCTATAGATTCAATGCAATCCCTATCACATTTCAGGGGCATTTTTTACAGAAATAGAACAAACAATCTTAACATTTATGTGGTACTGAAAAAGGCCCTGTATCGCTAAAGCAATCTTGAGAAAGAAGAGCTGGAGGCATCCAACAGCCTGATTTCAAATTATATTACAAAGTAATCAAAGCTGTATGGTATTGGCATAAAAATAGACACACAGGTTAGTAGAACAGAATAGAGAGCCCAGAAATAAACCCAAGTGTATATGTTCAATCAATTTAGGAAAAATGAGCCTAGAATATACAGTGTGGGGAAGGCTGCTCTCTTCAATAAATCGTGTTGTGAAAACTGGACAGCCACATACAAAAGGCTGAAACTAGACCCCTGTCTGACACCACACACAAACATTGACTCAGAACGGATTGAGGACTTGGGCATCAGACCTGAAACTGTAAAACTCCTAGGAGAAAACATAGGGAGTAAGCTCCTTGACATTGGTCTTGGTAATGATTTTTATTTGACATAAAAAACAAAGGCAATAAAAACAAAAATAAACAAGGGTGACAACATCAAACTAACAAGTTTCTGCACAGCAAAGGAAACCAAAATCAAAATGGAAAAGCAACCTAGGGAATGGGAGAAATTAGTGCTAATCACATATCCAATGAGGGGCTTGTATCCAAAACTCACAAGGAATTCCTCCAATTCAGTAGCAAAAAGACAAACCAATTAGAAAATGGGCAAAGATTCTGAATAGACGTCTTTCTGAGGAAACACATATGGCCAATGAGGTACATAAAAAGGTTCTCGGCCTCACTAATCATCAGGGAAATGCAATCTAAAACCAGAAGGAGATATCATCTCATACCTGTTAGGATGTCAGTTAAAAACAACAAGAACTGACAAATGCCGGCAATGGAGAACAGGGCACCCTTGGGCACTGTGGATGGGAATGTAAACTGGTACAGCTACGGTGGATAGTATTATGGAGGTTCCTTAAATTAAAAATAGAACTACCATAGGATTCAGCAATCGCACTTCTGGGTATACACCCTAAGGAAACGAAACCATTATCTTGAAGAGATATCTGTACTCCCCTCTTCATAGCACCGTTATTCGCAGTGGCCAAGATGTGGAAACAACCTAAGTGTCTGCTGATGGATGAACAAATAAGGAAAATATACCATCTATATAACGGGATTTGTATATACCACAATGGGATGTTTTTACCGTACTGTTTAAAAAGAAAATCCTGTTATTTGTGACAATATGTAGGGCATGATTCTAAGTATCACTTAAGAGTGAAATCTTAAAAAGAGAGAGAGAGGGAGAGAAAGGAAGGAGGAAAGAAAGAAGAAGTCCACTTCATAGGAACAGAGCAGAAAAGTGAAAAGTGGGGTTGGGGGTTGGAGAAAATAAGGGAAAATTGGTAAAAAGGTACAAACTTTCTGTTACTAGATGAATTAAGTCTGAGGATCTAATGTATAACATGGTGACTATTGCTGATAACACTGTATTATTCTAAAACTGAAATTTGCTAAGAGAGTAGAACTCAAATGTTCTCACACACAGAAAAGTGAATGTGTGAGGTGACAGGTGTATTAATGAACTCAATGGGGTATCTTTTCACGATGTATAGGTGTGTCAAATCGTTGCACACTTTAAATATCCTATCATTTTATTTGTCATTGATGTCTTAAGAAAGCTGGAAAAAGGCTGGAGAAACAAATCTGAAGTTTCCTGAATTTTACTCAGAAAGATGACTGCTTAAATATTCCTTATGAAAAAAGACTCTTCTGTAGACACATGGAAGCGATAGATAACAGAACAAATGTCTGGTGGTCTTACTGAAGAATTCTGCTCACCAAGCATAACTGAAGTTGTTGCCTGGTGGGAGGAATAGTTCAGCACCTGAAGAGACATTGCTTATGCTCCAAGAAACGATGAACAGGTCCTGTGGCAGTGGCACGAAGGGGACCGTGCGCATTTCTTCCCAACAGCAACTCTACCTGCCAGGAGCCAGGTCTTCTGGCCTTTCTTCCCCCCC